GGCCTTCTGTAACAGGCACAGAGTGTTGGGTGTTTGCATAACCCAAGTTGGGTAATTTGCATCAATTTCTCCCTAGGGATTCCCTAGGAAATCTACTTAACACTTATTGTCCCCAAAGTCCCCACTTGTCTGGCACATTTTCAATATAGTCTTTTGGACTCCCAGGTCTCACATCTGTAACATCTCCCTCCTAGAGAGATTACATTCAATCCAGGCCCATGATGATAGATAAACCTAATACAAGGTTTTAGAGTAGCAGCCATGTTAGTCTGTATCCGCAAAAAGAACAGGAGTACTTGTGGCACCTTAGAGACTAACAAACCTAATACAATTAAGTCTTTCAAGGATATTACAGGAAATTGCCATATCTGTCACATCTCCTCCCTGAAGAAGTGGATATAACTAGGTTGCTTGACCAGCATCAGAATTTCTTATTTCAACTATGCATATGTGGCTCTCTCCTGTTCACTGGCCTAGGATGAAGTTGTTCAAGATAAGGGAGGTTTGCCTTGTGACTTTTTGCACAACTTTGGGAACTGGGCCTGAGGCTCCTCCATGTACTCTGTGTTGTGTGTCAGTGTGTGTTAACCTCAGACCAGACCCACTCAGACAAACCACCAGGGACAAGGTTTTATTCTGTAAAGAAACATAGAACAGGATTACAGTCCAGCAGCCTCCTCTCTGCTTGCCTGCCTCGTGCTCCCAGCTCAGTCAGCTCTCAGACTTCTTGCTGGGAGGGCAGAGAGTACATCCTGGCAGGAACCAGGAAGTTCTCCCAATGTGCCGCAGTTTGTAGTCCACAACTTGCCATTCCCAAGGCTGCTGTTGAAGCACAGTGGAGCTTGGGCTACACATATAATAAACATTCTGTTAGCACGCCAGCATACGCCCTTCAAAACCCCCTACAGAGCTGTTCAGCAATTACCCTGTATAATTTCTCCTATAGAACCAATGGGCTGACCTCTCGCATGCCCCCTCGTACCGTTGTTCACCCCAAATCTTTGGCTGTGAACTTGAGACCTGGTTCTTCCACTCCCACTTCCCATCCAGTTCCTAGGGAGTATGTGTGGTGTCCCGTTGTCACTCAAGGAGTCAGCTGCCCCAACAGTGGTTTGAGGGTCCCCCACCCCCACTCAGGGGTATTCTCTTTGGACAAAAAATGAGAAACAAGGCAGGGATGGCTTCTTGAAGCAGCTCATGCACTGCTTTTAACATCAGAGGGGGCAAGAAAGGGAGATTCTTCAAGCTTTCCCCATGGCCAAATTTCTTTCTCTTCCTCATCTCCTCAGAGGTTGGGGCCTGGGGATTCTGGTTTCTTAACCTCAGCTTCTCTGAGGGGAGTGGGAGGATGTTGATCCTCCACCCCACTGGGGTGGCCCTTTGATCCCCACATACTGAGTCAAGGCCCACAGCATTTCGTCTCCCACCAGGCTCAGGCAATTGTAGACTGGGAGGAGACGTTCCCCTTTCTTCTTGGCTGTAGTTACCACCATCATCTTCCAAGCAGCTGCCATACACCGTACTTGGGCGTTTCTCACCTTATAGAGGGTGTTCTAGATTTGGCAGAGCACTGCAACTGCCTCATTGCCTCCACTTTTGGCTGGAGATACTGCCATCACCATGCTCTGTATTGCCTCTGGTTCCCTGCTAAGGGTAGGCGGAGAGTTTATTTCCCTGACCTGGGCTTCAGGACTCAGAGAATTTCCCTTCAAGTCAGGAGGCCCATCTGTGTGCTACATACTCCACCCAATCTGGTGTAAAGTGCTAATTTTATTCCATCACTATTAAAACAACAACAAAATCATAAAGTCGTTTTAAGTAACTCCACAGACCAGAATAGAAACACTATACATAGCCTCTTCGCTATGCTGCTAGCTCTAACACTTTCTTTGGATGTTCCTTCACACTCTAATTGCCCAGCTGAAAGTGCTCTCATTATAAATTTGTTTATAACACTCAAAATGTTTGGATGCTCAGGGTTGTGTATAAAGAGAAGTCAGGGTAGTTTAAAAGCTTGTAGCAGTATTTTCTTTTCCCCCTAAGAGCCGCCTCAGAACTCAGCACACTTCTAGGGCCAGATTTTAACCTCTGATATGATGCGCATTGTTTCGTAACGTGAAAAACTTTGTACTGTGCTTTCGTGCACAAACACAGTAACAGATTGTTTCTGGTTTTGCATGCCACACACTGGAGAATCTGACTCTGACGCTATGGATGATCTTGCAGTCATATCAATTTTCAAGGGCATACTTTGCACATATAATTTTCATTGACATCAATTCAAGTTCTATGTACAGACCAAGTGTAGAACATGCCCTGTAATATGTAAGATGTATTCAGCTTCTCTGTCTCCAGTTATTCTCAACATAGTACGAACAAACACACTTATTACTTCAGTGGAGAATGAGAGAGAAAACAGACCATCTTAATCCCTCAAGTAACCCCACCTATGGATAATTTAGTGACACTAATTACTGATATAAATAGTAAACCGAGCAGAGCAGCATCAATACAGTAAAGTAAAGCCAATCTATTTTGCTAGTCCAACATCATAGACGAGTTTTAATGTTACATACCATTGGCCACACTAACAACTGGACACTTACTAGCCAAAGAAGTGTGTTTTGTTTTTTTTAAATGTCACTCCCTGTCACTAGGTTACTGGCTCCTTTATGGGTCGATGGGACCAGCCAGCCAGCCACACCTGTGCCATAATTAATTAGTTGCTTTCCAGCCTGAGAGGGGGTGAGGTAATGGTTTAATGGACATCTGAACCTCATAAAAGGACTGAGACACCTCAGTCTGAGAAGAACCACAGGGAATGGGCAGGTTTCTGTGGAAGGCCCCGAGCTAGGGTCTACAGGAGGTTTTCCATTGTGTGTACTTTGGTCCCTTTCAGATCAGCTGTGCTGTTATATATTAAACTGTTTATGACCCTGTATTCCGTTGTTTTGGTTTACATTGCACTTTCTAAATGGTCATAAGAGTTTTAGTCTTGTTCCACAGATTTCACTTAAACAGCAGCTACTAAAGTTAGACATTTGAAAATCAGCAGGTTCGGATAACTTGCATTCAAGTGTTTTAAAAGTGTTGGCTGTGGAGCTAGCTGGACTCATTGATTTTTCAATAAGTCTTGAAATGCTGGGGAAGTTCCAGAAGACTGGAAGAAAGTTAATGTTTGTGCCAATATTTAAAAAGAGTAAGTGAGAAGATCTGGGTAATTATAGGCTTGGCAGTCTGACGTTGATCCCAGACAAGATAGTGGAGTGACTGATAAGGGACTCAATTATTAAAGAATTAAAAGAGGGTAATATAGTTAATGCCAATCAATATGGGCTTATGGAAAATAGATCTTGTCAGACTAATTTGATATCTTTTTTTTGTGTGGTGATATTACAAGTTTGGTTGATAAAGGTAATAGTGTTGATCTAATATTCTTAGATTGCTGTAAGGCATTTGACTAGGTACCACATGACATTTTGATTTAAATAAAACCTCCTTAACATGGCACACATTAAGTGGATTAAAAGCTGGCTAACTGATAGGTCTCAGAATGTAATTGTAAACAGGGAATCGTCACTGAACAGGTGGGTGTGTTTCTGGTATGGTCCCACAGGGAGTAGTTCATAGCCTTATGCTATTTAATGTTTTTATTAATGACATGGAAGAAAACATAAAATCATCACTGATAAAGTTTTCAGATGACACAAAAATTGGGGGAATGGTAGATAATGAAGAGGATAGGTCACAAATACAGAGCGATCTAGATCACTTGGTAAGCTGAGTGCAAGCAACCAATACACGTTTTAATATGTCTAAATGTAAATGTATACATCTAAGAACAAAGAAAGTAGGCCATACTTGCAGGATAGGGGACTGTATCCTGGGAAACTGAGACTCTGAAAAAGATTTGGGGATTGCAGTGGATAATCAGCTGAACACGAACTCCCAGTGTGATACTGTGGCCAAAAGGGTTAATGAGATCCCTGGAGGCATAAACCAGGGCATCTCGAGTAGGAATAGAGAGGTTATTTTACCTCTGTATGCACTACTGCAACTGCTGCTGGAATACTGTGCCCTGTTCTGATGTCAACAGTTCAAGAAGGATGTTGATAAATTGGAAAGGGTTCAGAGAAGAGCCGCAAGAATGATTAAAGGATTAGAAAACCTGCCTTATTGTGATTGAACTCCTTGAGTTTATCTATTTTGTTTATTAAATAAAAGGGTAGGCGTGACTTGATTACAGTCTATAAGTACCTACATGAGGAATAAATATTTAATAATGGAGTCATCAGTCTAGCATGATTCAATGGCTGAAAGCTGAAGCTAGACAAATTCAAACTGGAAATAACTTCCCAAGGGTTGTGGTGGATTCTCTATCACTGACCATTTTAAAATCAAGATTGAATGTTATGCTAAAAGATTTGCTCCAGGCATTATTTGGGGAAGTTCTCCGGCCTGTATTATATAGGAAATCAGACTAGATGATCAGAATGGTCCCTTCTGGCCTTGGAATCTGTGAATGCTTCACTCTTTTTGTATTAGTCATTACAATTGTCTCCTGACTTCTCTCTTGTTAAATGAAATTCTGTTCTTCCGTACTCATCTGATTTGCTTGTTTCTTCCATTCTCTTCTGTAGCCGTGGTCTCCTATTTAAACTTTATCTTAAGCCCGATCTCCAATAGTGGACTGGCAAATGGGACTCGTTCCATGGTGCTACAGCTCCTCTACTCTGTTTACTGAAACATTGATTTTCTTCAAGTATATGTAGTGGGTGGAAAATGTATATCCCTTTACACGATGCAGAACCAGTAATAAAAGGGCACCCTGCCAATCTACAACAAAGAGCTAGTGCCCAGAGAGGAATATTGTTCAGTGAAACAGAAACATATACTTCTTAGTCTAAGGCAAAGGAAAGCTTGGTTCTCTGAACTGTGACACTAAAACCACCACAAATAGAGCCTAAATACTTTCCAACCAACTTGCAAGCAAAGATCCAAAAGAAATCTCTCTCCTTCAACATGCTATTGAGAAACGGAGGGAACATGCTAATCTTCTCTGTATCGTTCCAATTTTAGTATATGTGCTGCCGAAGCAAACACAACCTATCTGTCATGGCATTTTTCAAATAGTAGTAAACACACAGCATGGTTCTTTTAAAATAAAATACAAGAGGTGAAATGTAAATCAGTGGGAGTTTTGCCATTGATCTCAGGGGAGCCACATTTTCACCCACATCTCTCTTTCATGCAGAAAATAGCTAATGTCTAATATTTCATTTTGGTAAATATATTAACCTCAATCTTTAGAAGAAGAAAAGTGTGGATGGTATGTGCCATTTTACAAATGTAACTTCGTTTTCCATTGTTACGCATCTGGCTGGCTAGCTGCCTAACCCTTTCTGGCCAGGTGTCACATCCCATTTACAGATGGGGAGCAGAGGCAATAAGTGACTAACCCAAGGAGGCTGTGCAGACCAGGGAACTGAACCCAGGGCTTTTATCTGCTCGGCCAGTGTCCTGACCATGGGACTGTCCTTTCTCTCTGAGAGGAAGGCTCAGAACCAGAATAATGCATACCCATCCACTCCTGCTAGGTTTCTCAGGCAAGTTAGTAATACCTTATAGTTGACTGTGTCAAATGCTGCGGATAGCAGAATGGAGATGAATGCTGGGCCTTTCTATGCACTAGAGAGGAGATTCTCCATGCACATGGCCAGCCCAGACTTGGTGCTATAGCTTAGACTGAAACATGACTATGCTGTCTGAGGCATTAGGAGAGGTTAGATGTTGCAAATAGCATCTCACTTTGCAGGGCCGCCCAGGGCGGGGGCAAGTGGGGCAATTTGCCCTGGGCCCCACAGGGGCCCCCACGAGACTATAATATTCTATAGTATTGCAACTTTTTTTTATGGAAGGGGCCCCCAAAATTGCTTTGCCCCAGGCCCCCTGAATCCTCTGGGCGGCCCTGTCACTTTGTTCCAGAATGGTAGGTTAGACACCAGAGAGAAGGTGGGTAGGATAATATCTTTTATTGGACCAAGTTCTGTTGATATGAGAGAGAAGCTTTTGTGCCACACAGCGCTCTTCTTCAGGTCAATCTAATATCCTGGGACTGACAAGGCTACAACTACACTACATACAGCAGGTTAGACACCCGGCAGATGGGTTACATCAAATGGTGTTTTTTAGAGTGCTAGATGAGATATTCTGGGCTTAAGCTGACAAGGAGTTTCGGACGGTAACTGAAGGATAACACAGTATCTGCATAATGCTGAAACTTAGGAGGAGGAATTTAGGAAGGCCAAATGTAATTACCCACAGTGGAATTAGGATAGATCACTGAGGTTAATATTAGAGCTGGGCAAACATTTTCAGGCAAATAGTGTATTTGTTAAAAAATGCAATTTCAGTTAACCTGAAACTATTCATGAATTTGTGTCAAATTTGCCAAATACTTTCAGCTCCAAAAATAAAATTCAGGTGAGTTCCAGGAGGTGGCTTAGACACCATTCAGAAAGTGGTGGTGGTGCTGCTGCTCCCTCATGTGACCAATAGCCCAGAGGTAAAGGCACTCACCTGGAGTGTGAAAGACCAGCATTCAAGTCCCTGTGTTTGAGCAGGGATTTGAACCCAGATCTCCCACATCCAGGCAAATGTCCTTACAACCTGGCTATTCTGTGATGCAGCTTTTGTATTAATTTAGATAGAATATGGGCCAAAGCGTCAAAGGTGTTAACAAAACCCAATCACTGTCCACCTTTAAACAGTGTTAAACAAGATTTGATATACAGAGATCTCAGCATGCTTAGTACCATGACAAACACATCATTAAAAATCCCTTTAACCTTTTATTAAAGATACAGAAAAGAAGGAAAAACAGTTAAAGCATTTGAAATGTAATGTATTAAGGCTTTCATTTGAACAGCATCACTTGTCCCCTTGCCCTTTTAGATAGAGAGCATTTTTAGAAGGATACCGCCCTCACCCTTGTTTGACAGTCTCTTAGGTGGTATCAAAGATGGTAAAAGCCGTCCTTTTGGGGGGAAAGAGAAGAAGTTAGTTGAGATGGGTTGGAGCTGTTGCTGTTGTTAAAGTCCAATCAAATTCCCTAAAATAAAACAAACATACACAACATGGGAGAGAAAAGAATAACAAACATAGATAGTGCAGCTTCTGCCTCTGGTCTTGACTTTCACTTGCAACTTCACTTCAGGAGAAACAGGCCTGGCACAAGACCAAGACCTGGCAAGCTTGTACCAGCATTGGGCTGTTTAGGGCATTACTTTTAGCTGCCTCTTTCAGGCTTACAGCAGTTGTTGCAAAATATAAAATCTTGGCTGGCTAAGCCAGGGTCTTATTAGACAGAAGGAAAAAGAAGAGAGATCAGAAAGAGAAGAAATAAGGTAGCGGGGAAAAAGGATGCTTCTTGGGGGTGGAATGACAAAGTCTCACTTTCTAGGTGGTGGCCAGGATTCATCCAGAGCTGGTGGAAGTGGCGGTGGCAGCTGGCTCCTCCTTTTTCTGGCCTGGTTTGGTCAGGACATGTCTCAGGAATCAGATTACGATAAAGACTGTTCAGGGTTCTTACTCTGGATCCCTGGGTCCCAGGAGATGGGGGGGGGGGGGGAAGAGGAGAAGGAGGCAACCATGATGGTTAAGATCACTTCTTCCCCTTCTTTCAGTCAGCCATTGTTGCCGGTTGCCAGCTTTTCCCCTCTGCTTGTGTTGTTATAGGTTATTGTGGCACTTTGTGAACTTTCATCTTCTTTTTACAGTAGAACTCACAAATAGATAAATTTGTAGGCCCAATTATTGCAACAGGTCTCTCTCAATCTCACCTCTTGAGGTTGTTCCATTTTGCATGAAATACTTAAATATTCGTTGGGCCAGCAAAAGAGTGTGAGAGAGACTCTCTAGCCTGGTGGTTTGGGCACTTTCCTGAAGGGGACAAGGAACACCTGGGTTCCAGTCCATGCTGTAATGACTATTTAATTGTTTATACAAAACAGAACAGCTTCAGCAGAAGAATTGAGAGGCCCCCACTGCAGAATACCCTACAGCTCAGAGATTAGAGCACTCACCTCTAACATTGTTTAAATCCCTGCTCTGCCACATTTGGAGCAGTAACTTGAACTTGGGTCTCCAACATCCCAGTTTAGTGCCTTAACCTTGGGAGGGGCATTGTCAGTTCTCCCCCTGTTCTGTGAAAGCCCAAAATCGAAACATTTTGTTTTGGGATTGAACAAAATGTTTCATTTGACCCAAAACTAATTTTGTTTTTTGTTTTGTTTTCTTTTGCTGAGAAAGTCAAAACATTTTATTTTCGGGTTGATCTGAAGCAAAATCTCTCTGATTTTTTTTCAGTTCATCCAGTGAACTGTTAATCTCTGAGGATAGGACAGGAAGCAATGGGCTTAAATAGCAGCAAGGGCAGTTTAGATTGGACATTAGGGAAAACTTCTTAACTGTCAGGGTGGTTAAGCACTGGAATAAGTTGCCTAGGGAGGTTGTGGAATCTCCATCATTGGAGATTTTTAAGAACAGGTTAGACAAACAGCTGTCAGGGATGGTCTGGATAATACTTAGTGCTGCCATGAATGCAGGGGACTAGACTAGAAGACTCTCGAGATCCCTTTCAGTCCTACAATTTTATGAACCAAAAATGATTATTTGCACAGTTCTAGTTAATATCTCCTACTCAGGGTCATTAAGGATCACTCTGCGAAACTGCTCAGGGTCTTTGTTTTAAGTCTCCTCCAAAAGATGATCCACTCTAACAATATAGTTGCCTCCAACAACACTCTGGGTTGTTCATTCAGTTCAGGCTCTTAGAAAAGTGCAGCACACAGATACCTCTTCCAGCCAGGGAGACCCAGCTTAGCTAGTGGAAGCTAATGAGGTCACAGTCCACAGTGTTATAGCTCCAGTAATGGCTGAATAAATGAATCACTAATAACTCTCCAATGTTATAGCATCAACTTTCTTCATGTAGTAAAAATATTGTCTCTCCCTGAGTATGAGATTTTCCAATATCAGTATTAAACTTCCACTATTATTAGGACTGCTATATGCCTGAGTTGCAAAATTAACACTTTGTGATTATCTTGTACATTTCATGTCATTCACTGCCAGCATTCTGAATATAAAGAACAATGTGCAAACCCAGCAGTATTTTCAAATGACAAAGCCATTATCAGTGCTAAACTCTGTTATCAGCCAGTAGCCAAATGTTTCAGCAGATGCAACCAAATGCGATTAAAGTTTCGAGACCAGAAACGTTTAGATGCAAAAAGAACTTTTGCATGAACAGTTTTGCCTTAAAACATTATCTCCCAGTGCATGTACCATAATTTTTCCATCTATTTGCTATACATCCGAGGAAAGCAAAAAGTAGAATATTGTAGAAGTATAATTATCTGATTCATTTTTTTCCCCAGTTACTGGGTTTTCTTCTAGGTGGGAGATAGAAATGCACTTTTTATTATGAATGTGGATAATTGTGGGCTCCAGAATATTCCCTGAAATTCAATGACTGCTTATTTTTTCCTTTCTCTGATTTGAGATTATATTATATAAAGACAAATATCCTAACAATGGATATTCTTTCTATATGGTTAAATATGGCTGGTTTCTTAAAATGGCTGGCTGCATTTCAGTGAGACTATGCATTTGCTTTGGAAGTGTCCTGTTGTGCCATTTAATTAACTTGTGTCATGTGAAATATGTGAACTGAGAGATTACTATAAATTCTGAAATCCCAGAGGACATGAATATGGACGTGTTTCTGTCATGCTCCATTCCCATGTATTAGCACAAGTGTTTTTGAGACTGTATTAGAGGAACTTCATTAAATGAGAGGAAAATCAGTAGGGAAATACTTAGCAAAGTGAGAGAGAAGCTTTATTATAATACAAGCTAGTACACTGCCACTTATTCTTCAGTGCATCCCAGTGAACATAACTCAGCTGCTATGGAGACAAACCAGTGATAGGAAATAGATGATGTTTAATATTTCTGATGGTAGCCTTCTCTTCCCACAAACCTATATCATCGTACAACTCTGGTGGCCTTGGAACTGAAGCAAATTTTAAAAAAATATT